AAAGCTACTATTTCTTAAACTCACTGCAACAGCTGGTGGAGCAATTACCCTAGAGCAATTGAGGGCCATTTTTGCGAGTAGCACATAGTACTGTTTTCAAGATTACGGTATCTAAGCTAACTCCTATGCTTTGCCGATCTGGGGGACTTAAATGGCATTTCTAGTTTTTCCGTAACTGTCAAAATTCGGTTGTGTTTCCTTCAACAGTGGGCCGATAACGCCAAACAAACTGCGTATATTAACACTTAGAAGATTTCGGGCCCCCGTCTTCTTTCAATCCCCTAGTCAAAGATATTCATTGTTCGCATCTTTAAAATTTCTGGAACACTTTGGTCAGCTATAGTTCATAGTTTCATTGTTCAGCTATGCAGTTTGCAACTTTTGCACTTGCTTTGACCAGTGATACATCAACTGATGGTCAGCTTGCTAACAGTCATGGCAATGGTTTCTGAGCCTGAACGAAATTATCAGCAGAGTGATTCTCCTCATAAAACTACTTAGACAGGGCTTTAGCCGTTTCGAGAAATCTTTGCTTGTGGGTGTATGTATATATGTGTGTGCGAGTGTGTGTGCTTATGTATACTAAGCTGTACTTCCTTACCTCAGGCATTTGGCCACCGAAACGTTTTACTTTACCTTTAAAAGACCGAAACATTTTACCTCACATTTAAAGGATCAAAAAATTTTACCTCACCCTTAAAGGACCGAAACGTCTTACCTCACTCTCTTCTTTTGTTCTTATTTTCTCTTCTTCTTCGTATAGTTTCTAGTTTCTACCACTTAAGACATCCAGGCCTAATTTTTTTGGCTGCTACGAACTAATTCCTAAACCATGTCAAGGTGCCTGATAGTGCTACTTAGATTATTGATGTATTGTTGCTACACGTTGTTTGAGGAGAATGTGATAAGAAATGTTACTTTTTGTTGAGGTAGCAATGTTTGGCACAAGTAGCGATAGCTCGCCGATACAACTGCTTTGCCTCACTTACGATCCGATTCGATAAATGGTCAATAATGGACAGCTTCGCGAGAACAAATCTGAACTGGACGCAACAGCGTTGCAAAGATGGTCTAGTTGTGACCGCTGCACCGGTATCCTTATCAAATGCTGTGTTGTATTTATTTGCCCTGCTCTACTGCTTCCTGGGAATCGCCATTGTTTCTGATGTTTTCATGCGTTCCATCGAAAAAATTGTTACAGCAACCAGGTACTGCCCAATTTTTTCCCTCATTTGAATTACTGATTAGCAGAGCCTTAAAAAAGTTATTATTAATTGGATTTTCGATGTTTCGTTCGAGTGGGTACTGCTACGCACTAATGCGCGACTTTCACCAGCTTTCGACAAGGCGAACAACATTCCTGTCTTGAGCACTAGTTCTGCATAGTTCAGGATCGCAGAGGACTAGTAATGATGTATACAGCATCTAGGAGCATTTCAGTAACATCACTAACATGGGATATCCTTACTGATTGTCTGGACACTTTTGATATTAGTGTTCCTGTAATCACTTGCTTAACAAAGTTTGCTGTTAATAGTGAGGTTCAGAGTAAAACATCGTAAGCGTCCTTCCTTCAAATATATAACGCATCAAAACGTAAAATGAGCGCTCAAATAGCCTCGAATTTTAATCACTTTTCCTTCAGATAAATAGTTGTAACCAAATCAAGGGACGCAGTGGCAAAGATGAGGTGACGGAACTCTTCTTATGCTCCAATCTCTACACCGCAATTTCAAAGTGCATGGTTTTCGATCCGTTTTGAAACTAGATTAAAGAAGACACAGAGGAGATGTTAAAACTTTAGCAACTTCCGGCCTACCTCCCCAGTAACTCAGCTTTGAGTTCCGCAGCGAATGATTTTTTCCAGTCTAATTTGAAAATGTCATTCTGAGGCAGTGAAGCAAAAAATATTTTTTCCATAATTTTTGCAGAAATTTGCAGGAAAGTAAATTTAAAAAAGCTTAAGAGGAATCGTCTAGAAGCAGAGGAAATGACTGGACCAAATGAAGGCGTGGAAGTGCGCGTTTGGAATCCAACCGTCGCTAACTTAACATTAATGGTAATGAACTTCAATCCTATTTTAATGTTAAAAAAAATGCATATTATAACAATAAGAAAATTGCGTTTTTTAATGAATTCATAAAGCAATATTCACGTTTATTATGGAACGGGCACAGCTTCGTTTTCACTTACTATTCAGCTTATTTTGGTTCTTTAACGAGCTGTTGTTTCATCGTTGCGTTTCTTCCCGCTGCTGATTTAGCTGACAACTTCTCCATTCTATTCTGTTTTGAGCTTCTCCCATTCACTTTTTTTGCAGAGCGATTTAGCTGAAATGCCCACTGCACTGGTGCTCTTCTGTGTTCTTTTAACGTTGCGCAAGTGCCATTTAACAATTCAACAAATTTACAAGTGTAAAAGCAATTTGCAGAATTTTTTAGCACCTCATTATTTTGTTTAGGCATTGGGAAGCAGTGCACCGGAAATTTTACTTTCAACAATCGAAATTATTGCTAATAATTTTCGCGCTGGTGACCTTGGACCAGGCACAATTGTTGGTTCGTTTCTAGAAATTATTTCGATTAGAAAAAAGATATAATATGCTAATTTTTAGACAAGAACACTGGCGTGCTAATGTGTTATCCTTCCATTCCAAAATTACCAATTTGTTGCTTTTATTTCGTTACAGCGAATTTT